GATTAGGGTTAAGGTTAGGCTTAAATTTGGGGTTCGGACATGGGAGCGGGTGCCCCTCCGGTGAGTCAGCGCAAGGCCGTCTGTACTACTGGCAGTGTTCCTTTGACCGTGTCTTACCGGCATGAATCAAAGTGCTGCTATATGCACAACGTCAGTTCTACCAAAAATAATACCAGAGGTAGACAGCAAGGACAGTGTGTATGCAATTCAGGCTCCTACTGTAACGCTGGGCAAGTTCTGTTGTGATATCTATGCAATGTGAGCATGCATTTTTTCTGCATATTAGGAAAACCATTTTGGGCTACGTTCGTTATCGAAGCCTAATTTTCGCACTGTCCATTCAGAACCGTACAGGGAAGTTATCGAAATGAAAACTGGTTCGGCTGTAACCGTCTAGTAATTTTTATTCCATGGTCCCACGATAGTTAGCATGGTTAAACTCCTGAGGCATATGAACGTCGGTCCTAGACTTACCTCCAGTAATTCTAAACTGCCATAATCTGCATAACTTAAGTGGCACCGTCCGTGCTGATGACCAGAAAGGTGGGATTCTCAATAATGCGCCTATCAGTGCCAAATTTTCTTGCGAGGAGAAGGCGTGGGCGCAGTTGACAGCATGCTTGCCGACCTCAATAAATCTAGGGGTCTTCTTAACTTTTAACTTGACGGGACGAACTTTAGGCACCTTCCTAACCGAAGCCACACTGCACTTTCTCGCATCAGCGAAGGCAGGCAGAGGAGGTTCGCGCAAGAAATAACCTTCGCCGCTTCATAATGTGAACTTGGAAGCAGGTAGCAGTGGATGTCGAAAAGGCGCGAAACGTCAGGGACAGGGGGGCATGCATACTGCTAGTTGATGGTAAGGTGTAATTGCTTCATGAAGAGGCGTGCAGAAAACCAAAATCAAGGAGTATGCAAATGAACAGGTGTTTCCGCCTTCCGCTTTCCTGTACTGAGACCTAACCAAACGTGAGTACCGCATGCCCTGAACACTAACTTTTTCATTTCACTATTAATTTAACGCAAGTCTGGGGAACAAAGAGGGATGTGGCAGTCTGAATTGTCCTTAGTTGGTTCTGCGCACGCTCTCATATGCTGAATAGAAATTTAATTAAAGTACTGACACACCAGTTGCCAGCAGTTGTTTCGTTGTGATTACCGATCATCGGTACGCCATAGGCCTGTCATGTTCTTTATGAAGTGAAATATGTAAACTTGCCAAGTAGACACGCGACCCTCTTTTGTTGTGGTTAGACTCTTGCACGATCTCATTCTGCCCGCCCGCCAGCTAGGCTGCTGGCGATAATGAGCGTTGTGCCAGAGGACACATGACACGTAATACTTTTTTATAAAACACCCGTCGGAGTCTAATCAAACATGGAGGTTATGGAAAATCCAGCTAAGAAACGCATTTTGTCAAAATCGCTTAGGGGTAAACTAAGTGTTGCTATTCCACGCTTTAAGAATGCTTATCCGATTTATATCATTGCCCATTTCGAAGGCGATCGGCACTCTACGCGTAGTTGTAAATACAGATTCAGCGATATGTTATGACCTTTTGCTGCATGTTACTAGCCACAAAGACAATGGAGACTGGAATGGCCATTTCTGGCTTATTAGCCGTCATCAGCCAGTCATACCCAAACCCGAAGTGTTTAACACCCGAGGCTCGAATTCGCCACATGTTAGTTAGAATTCCACGCCTCTAACCACTGGGCCACGGACCCGTTGTTTTGTCGGTTTCGATCGGGCTGGCAGAAGAATTATTCGAGTGCTCCTTCAAGACAGTCAGTTCAGACTTCGCAAGTAACGGTAGAGGACTGACCAAGAGAAGACCAAATGTCATAATTTCGAGGGCTATTTAGGTACAAATCTGCTCCTGCAGAGGGTGTCTGAACATGACCGCGGACAGAGAGCGATACGTGACGCAGCACTGGAAAACAAATTCAGAAAGCTGCCTAATCGAGCGTCGCCCAAAAACGACAAACTGGTGCACAACCTGTCGTCAAAGGAGCTGACAAATAATCAGATAGAGGTGTTACGGCATAAAGCTTCATTCACCGCCGCTTATGCCAGACCTGCCAACGTAATTTCAGCCGTGAAATCAATCCTTAGTCAGGTGGAAGCAACGGAAGAGACCTTATCTGGCACCAAGTGTCGTCTTTCCTTGCGGCTTACAGGCCGCGCGAAGTGCTCTCCAAGGTCGAACGTACTGCACTAAGGGGGATCTAGGCCGACAAAGGCCTCTTTATCGTGCTTGAAGACAAGGAGCGTGAAACGGTTGTTTTGAACTGGACAGACTACCATCAGAAGGCCAAACGTTTACTGGAGGACCGGTAGTCCTATGCCCCGTGCGCAACCAACCCCGTAAAAGCGCTGACACAAGACATCAATGCGACGCTGTTGGCACTGGAAAACTCAGGTGCAATATCATCGCGACTCATTTTACGGGAACGAAGAACGTCTTGCTAGAGGCGACAACCGCGTGAGCCGCGAACTGCTTGAGTCATGGTTTTCCGGTCTTCAATCAGTCAGCAGGCGCAACGACTTCCCCGTTCCATATTCGACGCCGAAACTCCGCTTAGGCAGAAAAGTTAGACGCGTGCGGATGACCACTGCTCCTGGAGTCGATGTCTGCGAGCCAAAGTGCCCAAGAGTCTACACGGACGGCGAAATCCGGCAGTCAGCAGCTTGACTGTGTGCGATGAGTGTGGGAGCCGGTAATCCTGGCCGGCACAGAGGCGCATAGCAACTACATGACAACTGCATACTATAACACCTGGCCTGTCGAGCTGTGATGCACTTGGCAGCTGCCAACTGCGATAGGCCTATAGCGGTCTAGAAACCATATCCTATAAATACTGCTATTAGGACGACCCAGAACATGACGCACCATTCCTGTCGTTCGTGGGTCACGCCTGACAAAGGACCGCAAACCCGCAGGTCAGTCTCGCCAGGCAAGCCCGCGTGGGAGCTAGCAATTATCACACGGCCAAGTTAGGCGCGACATTCAGGGGTCAACAACACGCGAGGGTCTGCCCATGCGAACGCTCAGCACCGGACCAGTAGGGGCACGCAAACCAGACAAGGGCAGAACCCTTAAATACGAAGCTACGGACAGGAGGGTTGAGAGTTGATGTACACATCCGCGTCATAGGACTTTAGGAGTTCATCTGTGCATCGCGGATGTTCCTGCAGCTGCCTTATTTGAACTTATGGACCTTTGTTTAGAAACCAATTTTTCGTACGATCACCAATATTATCAAAAACCAAAAGGTGCTCCAATGGGATCACCCATATATGGCTTTCTTGCCGAGATGACAATGCAGGAATTGGAATCGGTGGCTCTTCCATTAGTTAACCTTAAGTTATGGGTACGATATGTAGACGACACGTTTGTCGTCGTTAAAACGGATCAACTAGAAATACTCCACAACACAATCCATTCAACCGTTCCGGGATTTAAATTCACGTTGGAAAAAGAACTTGACAATAAACTCCCATTTCTAGATGTTCTCGTACAGCCTAAGACTGACGGAACATTACACACGTCCTTTTACCGCAAAGAAACATATGCGGAAATAATTCTACACTATGAGAGCAACAGTCCGATCTCTCACAAGCGGAGTACTGTCAAAAGTCTGATACATAGAGCAAAAACACACTGCTCTGATAAAGAAAGCTACAAAGTTGAACTAAACTACGTATTTGAATTATTCTCCCAGAACGGTTACCCTAGAGATTTCGTACGTCGATGCATGAGACAACAAGAGATAAAAAAAGAAACTAGATAGTTCCAATCAAGCGCCCAAAGCAAACACTTGGCGAATCCTTCCTTACATCAGGAATGTGTCTGAACTTGTTGAAAGGCACTTGAGGAAACACCAGATAAAATTGGCGCACAAGACGACGGCTACTTTACGCACCCAGCTTGTACACCCTAAGGATAGGGTTGGCTATCTCGATAAAAAAGAAGTCGTCTATAAGATCCCATGCGATGCCTGTGATGCCGTATATTGTGGCTAAACGGGAAAATTTGCCCCTACACGCATCCACGAACATCAACTTGCAGTAAAGCGGCGAGACCACTTGTCTCAAATGGCCATCCACACTCTTGATACTGGGCACAATTTCGCATGGGACAAAACTCGCATCGTCGGAGTTTGCCCACCTAAAAAGAGCCGAGAGTTTATTGAACCCATGCAGTCCGATGAGTCCTGCATCAACAGGCATATCGAGTTAGATGCCACGTACAAAAATCTCCGAGAAAAGTGGAAGAGACGAAAGCCGATCAATACGGACTGACACATACGACGGCAGCTTACTAGCTGAGGCACCAAATGAGTATTGATTTTGTAGCACGTTTGAAATTTTAATTGTTTTCTGCACATTTACTCTAGTCTGACGACAACACGGGGAACCAACGTCGAAAATTTACTCAATAAAGTTTTCTCTCTTTCCCAAAGAACTTATAAGATGTCCAAATATATATGCATAGATAGGCGAAACACGTGTCTCGGCTTTTGGCTAGCACCCATGTTGGGAGTGTGGTATAGCACGTTTGCCATGTAAAACCCATACTACTAACAGTACTACTCGTTTGTAGAATAGGCATTACGTGGCTGTTTTACGGAATTCGATTTTCTTCGACCCAAAGTTTCATCGTAATTCCGGGTCCAACCCTAAAAAACCATGTTCCTGACAATTAACTTCATGTCCAGCGCTTAATAATTTCTGTAATTATTAGCTTGATTACGCTCTCGGCTCACATACCAGAAACCGCATAGTGAACGCTGGGGAACCCACTGAAGAGCCGAACCCCTGACTGTTGAGTGCTAGTTGTGGGCGCCAAAAACAACCTGAGGAGAGCCGCGGTAGTGAGTAAAGGATGATTTATATGTAGCAAAAATAGACTGTCGATAGGACATAAAAATAACGAAGGCAGAAAAAAACAAAAAAAATTTAAAGCAAGTTCCGTCATTTCTCCGAAGATTCCCTTCCTAGAGAGGTTTTCCTGGCCTTGTGATGGTGATGTTAGATGGCACTGCTACGGCTCCGTCTATATCTAGAAATAGTTTTTTGGGGATCATTTTGAAATTAGAATCTTTACCGCGTTGCTTCGTAGATCGAAGACGTCCGACGCCAACGCCCGGAATAAATAAATCGGAGCAAGTGACGACGATATGAGAAGTCTGGGAAGGGAAAAAGTCTCAATAAAAACCTAGATACGACACAAATTGATAGCTACTCAGAGTAAAATAGGCTCGACATTTAATTGAGGAATTAAGTATCAATTCTAAAAAGGACGATTGTAGGATGTCACGCAAGCTGCAGTATCCTACAGTAATGCATTCCAGAACCAGAACTCAGAGAGATAAGGTCAGCAAGGTAGTCATGATTAAGCCGGAGAACCCAATCAACCTAGGCCGCACGCACATGAAGTTCAGGCTAACGATCGGGCAGTATACGATCCGCGACCCCAACGCTTGAACGAAGTTAGCTGTTCAGGCACACTGAAGCAAACAAGCTCCGTATGGGTGGCAGAGATCATAAACAGGTTATGAAATACCAGGCCGAAGTTATAATAAATCTGCAGCGGCAGATAATGACAAGCGGAGAGACATGGGTAAACTTCGGTTCGACAAAGTGCTCATGACAAATTTGCTAGACCCCGCCAATGGACAATCTGCACCGTGCGATGATAGTTCGACCGTCGTTGCCGACGATGACCACCGTGTGGTCTACAGGAAGGTTGAGCAAGCACGGTGAATTGCGTGTGAATTAGTTTATAATGAGAGTGGGCTTGCGTAGCACCTACTGCACTCCCCTTTGGAACTGGACCCCGTGTCCAGACCGAGTTAAGAAAACCGGAAGTGGGGAGGGAGCAGGTGGATGGCGCGGCCGAACCTGCATCTTTGCGCTCTACTCGCACTCCCTGGTTCACAACAAGTACGTGACCAGGATTTTGACCGATAACAACTACAACAGAAAGGGCGTGGATGACTGGGCAGTCACGCACACGGCCTGTAGACCCAACGGGGGCGCAAGCGCATCTACCGCCAGAGAACCAGGCGCCGGAAAACTGCCGGCGCACACCAGACTGCGAGGGCCATGGTTTGCTGGTACTGGCATAGCAAACGCTCACAAACCTTGGGACCCAGAGGAGTGAGACAGCCCTGAATTTACCTGAGCTATCATCCTTCAAAGGCTGCGTAACCAGTCAGTCAGGACTGAAAAGCACTACCCATTAAGTAACACACACTCCTCACATGCATGAGAGTGCTAGAGGTCACTTTAAAAAGGAGCCGTGACAGCCTTGCTTTCAGCCCACCAGTTTACCATTCTACACTAACGCTCACACAACTGGGCAGACTGCGCGGACCGAATTGAGGCGTCAGTCTCCCAAGCCACGGCGTTTGGCGCACCGTGATAGTCTCAGGCTCGGATCACACATGCAGCAGAGGAGCAGCATGCAGATGGCGTCGAGAAGCACACTTGCGTGTGGCGTAGCAATCGAGGGCTTGCAGTGGTGATATTGTTGTGCGATGCGATTGTTGTTGGGGGATATGTGATGTGGCCGGCAGTTGTCTACCGCCCGTTTTCGTGAATACGCAGGCGACCTAATAAGCCGTGTACGAGCGCATGTTTGTGCTTCTGGTTACGGCTGCTGGTCAGGATTATGATCGGCTGAATGAAGGCAGAATATGCCTGAAGGACACAAGGACGTGAACTGACACAAGGCGTCGTCTCAGTTTATTATTGAGAATGTTATGAGCAGGACACGAGAGAAAGCACTTCCGAAAAGTGCCGACCAAAACATCTTCAAGTCGCCATAAGCAAATAGTGTCATGTGCACGCTCGCAAAGTCGGAAAATTTTCAACTTTACCTTGTAGCTCAACAGAAAATCGGTATACACCCTCATGTTAAAAATCATGGCATTTCTGGAGACAGACTATGAGGAACGAAAAAATTGCACGATCAGAAATCTCTCTGAGACGCGGCTTTTGCCTGGTTATGCTGAAAATCCAAGCCAATTAGACATCTGAAGCTAGAAACGTATTCTGCCACAAAGTGCTGTCAAATATGCAGTTAGACCTTTAACTTTGTCAGAATTACTTTCCCAACCCATGGCCATGGGCAGTCCTTCAATGCAGACAGCGTCTTCTCATTCGAAAATGAGCTTCTTTTTACCAGTAGTTATGCCTGATGGTTCATAATATCGTACTGATAGGCTTGAGAAGTGCAAGGACAAATTTCGAAATCGCACACCCTCAGCCTCCATGAACTTCAAAGTTCGGGCAAGACCGGCCCAATGGTATGGGCCTTCATGTTTTCGTTCGGACGTCCGCACTTCATTTTCAAAACCATCAGTTAGCTTCACGTCAGCAGCTTAGCACGGATAAAGCAAGTAGACCAGTCAAAAAGGAAACCAGGATTCACCGACGAGTTGTCCGACCAAAAATAAAGCATCATCAGGTAGGATATGCAAGGAGTTAGATGTTATCAACGGCGAATAGACCGGAACTGGCCATTCATTCATCCCATGTATTTGTTGGCACTAATCCGATGTTTGTGCTCTATAGGGTTTAAGTAGCTATTACTAGGTGACCTTTGTAATAAAGGTGGCTTGGAACGGTGGAGAGTGCTTAAAGACCCAGACGTCAGGACGACTCCCTCATTTTTTGACGACAGTAGTCTGGGAGAAACTGGTGCGAGAGGTCAACTCACAAGGCCCGCTGTGAAGGAAGGACTTTTGGAATAAATTCAAGACATAACATTTTACCAACTGACTCTCGTTTCTTACTCCTTGAGAATGCCCACTACCGATATGCGGCACGAACGTTTCTTCGAATGCGCCCACAGGAAAGTGTTTTTGCCTGCAGCAATATCACGTTGGTTCGTCTGTAAGCTCCACTTAAAACTACTTAGGGCGACTGCACATGATTGATAAAGTGCCTGTTGGACATGAAATATGTGAATAAGTAACGGAAATGGCAATCGATATGGCGTAGTCCGGCAGTTGGGTTAACACATTTGCAGCAGGTACGGATTTTGTAGTCTTATTAGGTACAGAAAAGGATGCTAGTCCCAGAAGTCGTAGAAAGGTACTAAAATCCCCTGCTCGACGATGGTTGGGATGAAGTGAGCGCAGGAAGTCCAGCCTTTATTGTTATAGGGGAAAAGTACTTGAATCATTTGAAAACAAGCACGGAACATTGTAGGCAGAATGGCATTACCGACAAAGACAAGGGAGACTGGAATGGCCATTTCTGGCTTATTAGCCATCGTCAGCCAGCCATACCCAAGCCCGAAGTGTGGAACACCCGAGCCTCGAACTCGCGACCTATTGGTTTAGAAGTCAACGCCTCTACTCACAGGACCACGAGCCCGTTGCCCTGTCGGAACATTGTCTTTACAACTTCTTTAGGTAAAGAGCCCCTTGAGTTGTTTTGCAATAATTTTGGAATGCCTACTATCAAAAAACTGCGCGAAGGACAACTTGAATGCAAAAAGCGGCTTTGCCAGGAACCCATTATTGTTGTCCGCAGCCACCTAGACGGGCCACACGTGATTACCCTGTTCGACTGATCCGTCAACAGGACATGGTGGGAAAAATATCAGAATGGTTAAGAAGAACGTGGAAACTGGTTAGAAGTCCCCTCGACAATCTGTCAAAATGTAGGCATAATTATGTCAAGACAAGAAACTACTCGTCGTTAAACTCGACAGAGATTCTGGTCGCGCTCTGATAAATGATAGTGGTTACGTTTTAAAAATCGAATCAATCCCGACCGATGACAGGGAGGCAAAATAAGGATCAAACTGAGAGCATTGATTTCCAACTCCTAAAATGTCTTCGCAAACTGAAATACCAAGGTTGCCTTATTGATAAGGAGTTCGGGGCTCTTAAACCCACAGGCAAAATACCTCTCAAGGCTACATGGTTTCCCAAAGATTCACAAACCAGATTTCCCGATGCGGCCGATATTAGACTCAGATTCAATGGCCGATTTTACCGCCAGATGGGTGGCCTAGAGACAGGACCACCCCTTGAACCTCTACTAGCTCATGCCTTCATAAGGGAAAGTGGAGAAAAATCAGCCCTGTCCAGTTAGAAACGACCTTTCTTCCTATGCTGGACATGTTCATGCCATTTTTACAATAGCGCATGAAAAGCTTGATCTGAGAATCCTCTTGGATAGTGAATCAGGTGTACTTAGTGTTAGCCCTCACTTTGGAAAAGGGATGGAGAGTGTCTCGCTTTTCTGGGCGTCCTACTTAGTAGAACGCCTGATGGAACTACTGGAAAAATATATTTCCTAAGAAAAAAAGTAGGCAGGACAATATACAAATTTCTACAGATTCTTCCCGCTAAGTCAGAAACGAAGATTAGTGTGCCTTCCTACCAACCGAGCTAGGTGAATATGTACTCCAGATACGCTGAAGAACAAAATCGCCCTTATGCAGAACACGGCGAGAAACCGCCCTTCCCGAAAAGTTCATCTGAGAATGTTTTCCACAATCGGATGTGTCGACGGTTGAGAAGAAGGAGTTATTTCTCACACTGCCATTTCCAGGGGTTCTGGCGAGCGAATCTCTACACTGCCGACTAAACTCTGCTACCACGCGCACCCACACAGCCGTTTAAGTGACACTAGTTTCCTCAAGCACTCTACTCCTTGGCCTTGAAGACAGTGATAGACTGCTTTTTCAGACCTCTTAAATGCGCATATATGTCTTCACTTGCTCCTGTGGACCAGGTCATGCTAGTCGAACAAGTAGGTGCCTATCCAGGCGGATGCGAGAGCACGAAGCTGTAGAAAAGTCAGCCTCTAGCGCCATTATGGCTCACTTGACTGACAGAGGCCGCCGGGTAGACGCCAACCAAGCATCCCGAGTAATGTGTAAAGCGGCAGCGGGACACTCCAAGCCCCTGCGCCAGCGGGTACGTGCGAGGGCAGAGGCAGTGGCCATACGGTTATCTAATCCAACCCTTTGCTTGTATAAGGCGTTTTTACTGGTCCTAAGGTTCCCCTAGGCAGAGATAAACGCAGTATGTGTGTTTACACCCACCATGTCGCGTTACAGTGAAGAAACGGAGACATAGCTAATCGTTAGATACCTTCCCCTCTTAAGCCGCTGACAGAACTGGACTATACCTCCTGACCTCTGAACGCCCTCAACTCTCCCCCTCCCTATACTCACTGTTGAAACTTTTGCTAGTCTACCCTCCCTTACATTACTGTACAGGCTTGATAGTGAATAAACAAAAACGCAAGTTTGCCGAACTTGACTTCTTAAGAGATATTATCAGTCAACAGCATCAAGAGCAACCGATACGGAAAGTCATAAAAGAAATATTTTGTTCGGTCATCGTATTTTGATTGCCGTCCCCTCGAGAAACACCAGTTGCTCACTCCATCGAAGGCGGAGAGCTGCAGGTGAGTGGTGGCTGCTTTTGAAGTTAAGGCTCCTCGTCCAACTAGCACTACTTTTCCGAGTGGATTCAAACAAGCAGTGAGTAACGCCCATGGCGAAGTCTTACATTTTATTTGTGAGAATCTGGAAGTCGCTAACCTCGACGCCCACCGCGTGTCCAACGGAGTGGGCGCAGCACCGGCGACTTGAACGCGAGGCGGAGGCGAGTGCAGCGGCTGACAGCCCGCCCGCATGTGCCACACAGGATCTGGCTCCCGCACAATGTACCGGGTATCCACAGAATAGACGGCGGCTAGGATTTCACGCTCGTGGAAGTGGCAATGAGACCACAGTACTGTTATGTACGTATTTATGTGCAAAATCCCGGTCACTTGTACGCGGTGGACGAGGGGGTGTAGTGGTACGCCTAATTGCGGGTCCGGCAGCGCCACCCACCTGCGTCCTCCCTCACTTCCGGTCTTCTTGATTATGTTTTGACGCTGGGCCCACGTGGGGCAGGAGGAGAGAATGTGGTAGATGTTGTGAAAGTCTACTATAGCCATAAACTACTTCATGCGAAAGTCACCGTGCCTGCCTCACCTTGCTGTGGAACACACGGTCGACATAGTCGAAGCCAACGGTCGAACTGTCATGTTAAATAGAAGTCTAGTTTTAGGCAGGACGTGGACTGAGCGCGGCAGAAAGCATGAGGGCAAGGTCTTATGAGACACGGCGAGTTATAGGGCATGGGGAAATGTCATAGGCCGGAGAGTGGCCAATCGGCAGATAGTTTTGAATATACGTCCGTGACCTTGACTGTTAGCTTGTCACGCGCACGCGGCATGTCAGGACAATAGGAGCGGGAGACAGTGCATTTATAAAGGAGACATTGAGCCAGCCAGTCACTCCACATATACATACAGTGCAGACCACGAGGCCGAGAGTTGTGAGGTGGTTTCGTGCGTGGTGTATAGCCCGGTGAGACGAGGCGTGGTGATAACGCAAGATCCGTGGTGTTATACCACAGGTTTTTATGAAGACGCATTCGGGAAACGGGCCCATATGATGATAGAATGTCCTTGGGAGGTGTTGGCAGGTGAAATAATTGAGACGGGTGTGTATTGGGGCTCCCGGCACTGGCGCGTCAGTCTCCGTGCGATGAACTCAAAACTGGTCAACCAGGTAGATGTGTGATGCTGATGCACGGTGGCAGTAAGGACAGGGTGGAATTGTAGTTAGTGGACTGACGGTGCGGCATTTTTATTTGTGGTGGTGAAGCCAACAGCAGCTACCAAACTGTCCTGTTCACAGTTCCACCACGCATGCACAGAGAGTGAAATTATGGCGCGCTGCGTGGATACAAGGTCGCATGTGTGCGTGGCACGCCCAGACGAGCTGTCTAACTCTATTAGACACTGCGTCCAATCGCCGCATCAGCTGACTGAGTTGCTCAGACAGTGGATTGGCTGTCGAGAGGAGAATGAGAGAGTGAGGTAGTCTGCGAACTGAAACCCCACAGCACCCAGCGCATTTTCCTGACTACAAACAATCTGACACATTTTTAAACTACCACTTTCCATTAACCTACCCCAGCGTAAACTAAATATAAACCAGAAGTTGAAATAATTGAACATACTGAAATCGACAACTCGAACCCGTTTCCACGTACTGCCGATGAGATCTGTTCGTGTTTTACCATAACGCGGACGGTCGCAAGAGGGAGGCTGGGTTGGAAAAACGTCCGCAGTACAGGAAATCGTCCATCGGAAGAAATCCCAAACATGTGCTATTAGATGCAGGTCAGAAGACCCATCCGGTCATGGGAGGCATCGGATGCTAGGAGGGGTCCTGAAACATTCCACGGGGTGGTGTCGATGACCTGCTGTACTGTCATCTCGAAAACCGATCCTGTCAGGCTTGGGGGTATTGACAGTGGATGCGATTGTAGCATTTCCAGCAAGCGCAAACCATCAAAGCTCTCTTCAGGGAGAACCAGACTGCTCTTTCATGAATTTCAGACGGTTGCTCAAAAATGGATAGAACCTTCTTCACTCTGAATAGTCAAGGTACTCATTCCACCTTGGAATCTTTGGCTCCTTCATATATAGCTCCGGAGTTGCCGTTAATTCTTATCAATCGGAACCGTAACCCATCGGTTCAAATAACTAACAAATTAATGAAAGCGCCGCATAGCCCAATTCCAGCGAACTCGCTTATGACGGTCCCGACCTTGAGGCGCCATTGTTATCATCCGAAATTTGCACGCGGCAGGCAACCACGAGGCCATAAAACGGTGGCGTGTGCGCGAGTCGGCAATCGACACGTTACCTGGTCTTATGTGAAATCCCAGTTCCGACAATCAGTGAAGGGTCTGCCCACGCTAATGCTGGGGGATCAGCCAATGGGAATACGTAGATCAGATGGCGACGCAGATCTTACGTGCGGAGCCGTAGAAAAGAGGATTGTGAAACCTGTGTACGCGCAATGAGTGTCACAGTAAAGCTGTTCGCTGTGTCATCGCTGTCTGTCTTCTACTCCACATAACAAATGGCGACACGCCATTGAGGGGCATTAACTTCTATCCAACCACGGCAGATTCAGCGACTTTTCAATCTACAAACCGTATTTAATCAAAGTCCTTTTCACAGTACGGAGAAACACTTGAAATCCATCTTGTTTCCTAAAACTGAAAGGGATACGAACCGATTACAATGCATACATCCAAGCAAGCCACGATGATCTCATATCGCAGGACGAGCGTTAGCTGGAATCCATTAACAGTCACCCGTTGCTCAACATCGTCTCAGCCATTGAAAAACAGTGGAACGAAGTTCATGCAAATGTTTGGCTATGTAATGCTCCGGTTTACTTGCTTTCAAGGACCTGATTGAGTGCCGCGCTCTCTCCTGGTGGACAGCCTACCGACTTTAAATATTTGAGTAGTTGGTGGGACTCTTAGTTGGAACGTACGCTAAAGTAGGCCCAGTTAGCTGTCGTGAGCACAACGCACTCGTTCATCCCCTTATATCGAACACAGGCGTACCTATATAGTACACCGGGCAATTGAGAGAGGGGATCCATTTATGGTCGTGAACGTTTCCCATATATGCTCTTCGGGCCAGCAGTTATACAGTGCATATGAGTAAGCTTACAAGAGGCGACATAGCTCGCTTGCAATGAGCAGTTCAAAAAGTTTACGTTCGGGATAGGCGAAGAATGGGAATCCGTACTGATATGCCATGAACTATTATGAATGAAGAGCAATTACCCTGCGTTCAGGTAAGTGCTGGCGTTCGACCTTGAATTACACCCTCTGAATGAGGCTCTTAAAAGCGGCTGTGGTGCGCTCAAGCGTCGCCTTTTGTAAGGTTGATAGTTAGAGAGGCTGTCACCAAAAACAAAAGCCCGTGTTAAACTGTCGGGTTTATGCACACGGGAAACTAGTAAAGAGAAAGGTAACTCTGGCCTCTTCCCGGGTACTGTTCTCTGCAACCCCAGTTCTATGACGGACAGACAATGACAAACTGACAGTTCAGATGACCTGCACGCGGACTTCGTCCTTCGCATGCTTCTGCGAAGTAGGCCAACTTGATTAAATTGGGGGTAGAAAGCACCCCGCCTCTCCCCCAGCGTCAGGGAAAATAAGAGGACAAACAGCTCAACCGCCTGGCGGGTCACGGCCAGCATGTGTGAGTACAAATGAAACCTTTGCGAGTGCTGCCAAAATAGCAGAAGTAGTCATGGAGTAGCTTGTTAGCAACGATGAGAGGGTCGAACAACGTGTCTCACTGTGCGCATAAGAATCTCACGCAGAAAACTCGATTAAGATGATCCACAGCCAATAAATCGAAAGCCCACATTTACTTGGACGCAGGATAATTGCTCATGGTATATCAGCATGTGTTGCCATTCCTCTTCTTCCTCCTTTTCTTCTTCTCACACCCCCAGCGGAAGCCGTCTGAACTGCGCATATCAGGAAAACTAAGTCACCGCCTGTAAGCCTACTCATGTGTGCTACTTAACTGTACCAGACTGACGGGGATTTGCCGAATGTGTCCTTCTGAAGGAAATTGAATTCAACACTAAAGGTCACTAAGCGTAGCGAACCAGTCTTATTCAAAGGGCGGAACACAAGTAGCTTTATGCAATAGAGGCATTGGAAGAGGGCCAATTCACCAGAAAGAATAAAACGCCTACGGCAGAAAGATAAACGGAGACGAGACCGACCAACGGAAAGAATAGCGGAAAATAGCTCGTTTTAGTAAAAAAAGAGCGTGGAAATGCCGACTGAACCGCATAATCAGCGTCGTGGGGTCCGGCCGCGAATAGGGTGCATTCGCATGTCTGAGATCTCAGCTAAAATCCCTGACGAAGGAGTAACCACAGTCGCTTGTTTGAGCCGGCGATCTGGAAGGCACGAAATAGAGCACCAGACGGTAAAAAAACCTGCAGTGATAGCCGGATTCGGAGTAATGATGACGATGAGGAATGAAGGAAAAGCGGCAGGACCAAGAAGCTCCCATGAAAGAAATAAAGGGTGGTGATTGTACCGGTGGAAAGCGCATGCAAAATGGATGCCCAAGCGTGCTAGCATGCAAAGAAGATGCGGCCGAACGGCAATCAGCTACATGCCTCTAAACATATACAAGACGGGTATCAAAGGCGTCCGTGCAGGGAGTGAATGAGGTCGGAAGAAAAAAAAGACGCGATCGCCGAAACAAGGAGTTTATTGGCCTGAGGTTTCGCATTCTCACTCGAACCCCTTAACAGAGGCAGTCACAGAAAAGCAAACGTGCCAGCCCAGTGCGTGGTAACAGTAATTTGGACCGAAAAAAAACAAGGCAGCTAGAAACACCGACAAAACCGCCAACAAACTTACTCCTAAGGAATTTCAATCCAACGTGTACGCAGATCCCTGTGAGGCAGATTATGAGACCAATCTTGTTGAGGGGGCTGGAGACATCGCCGTTGACAGTAGCCGCCAAGTACAGGGTGATGAGCTCCTAGATGAAAAAAGCTTCGTCGCTCAGCTGTGGGAGATCAAATGATAAATGTACCACTGCCAACAGCAGCGCAACACGCCCTCGTGGGGGCGCACAAATATGACATTGCTAATAAAAAAGAACACGCGGTTGTTATGGGCACGGGCAATCACTGACCGAATCCACGCCTTGGCGGGAACATGAAGTCGCAAAAATCTGACAGTTAAATCAACCTGGGCTAGGAGGTTCGGAAAACACGACGACCGGAAAAAGTCGAACAGGCTAAGAGACCGAGGCGAAGTTGCTGTTGGTGGGGGACTCAAGCAAACAAAATACGTAACAATGTGATATGCAAGATCAGACAGAAACCTGCAAGCAGGAATAGTGTCCTAAACGAATTGCAGAATGGCCTCACAAATGTTCTTTTTTCCAACTTTATACTTTATTTACTCGGCATGAAGGGCGGCAATGAATAGAAAGCGAAAAAATAGCACGTGACAATGGCCACAGTACATACGAAGGAACAAAGAAACTACATATAGGTTCTACATGTAGGTAAGAATGAACCACGTGTGGTGCAAATGTCTATAGGGGCAAGTCTGGAAAAATATTTCCAAGCATGCGGAAATAGAGGTTAAATAAAACCCCAATGTCCGAAGGGCAGAGAGCCAGATGAAAGTCGAGCAAGGATGAAGTTTACTAAAGGAACGTCCCGCTAATTTGTTACTGCAGTAACTTTTGTTGACCCAAATTTGTTCCTCCTTCGAAGATCTTCGTGAGCGGGTTTTTTTTAATGTCGTCTAGGTGAAGCCCATTAAAAAGCGCAAAGAATATGAAGACGAAAAACTTGGCACCAAATATTTCGTAAACGGCGGGAGAATCAGACGTTGTTGATCTTCTAGTCCTCTAGCACTCGATCGAAGGACCTCTTGGAGTTAGTCTTGAGAAATTTGCGAATAAGAAAGATTTAAAAACGTCATGGTTGAGAACGGCTTGGAACTGTTGGTGAAGAGTCATGCTCAGTGCCGGGAAAAATAACTCATGTGAAATTATAACTGTCGATAGAGTCAAAAATTTTCCGGATGCAGAGAAATCAATGAAGTTAGGATCAGTTCCTCAGAAGTCGATAGCAGAACGAAGGGTAACTACTTTCTCAACCTCTGTCGAAATGTTAGTTACCGCATTTATAACGGGTATAACAGCAGTCGCCCAAAAATTTCAATCCTCATAAGAATAGCAACAAAACAGAACATTGTTAGCTACGGCGGAGGCGGCTGCAATCAGGCTATGCGGACCGGCCCTATGCGAACAGAGGCCCCACAATGGCCAAGAGTCAAGGCCACCAAGCCAGCCACCCGCATGTAATTACCTTCGCCGGGACCCACCTTCTCCCTGGCGCTGACTGGGATTGTGGTGTTTCACTCTCCCCCTCCCCTCCCCAAACACGAGCTACAGCATAATTATCTACTTGTCTATATCTTTTCATTCATTACTTCAATAGCCATATAAATGTACAGGCCTGAAGAGAATTTATCGAAAGCAGACGTATGCTCGCCAAATTGCCTTTTGAATGAAACTGAACATTGTTGCTGCTGATATCAAGCTCGTGCTAACTTCTGCCGCAATCAACAGTTCCAATAGGGCTTCAGTGATCACAGTTTTAATAGCTGTTGGTATGACCATAAACTTGAGATTTAGTGGATAGGCGGCAGCTACGGCTACTTGTCGGATGTTCATAATACATTCCAAGTCCACGTAGCATCCGGATGTAATATTGAGTCAGTAGGAAGAGACCTCCAAATAACCTTGAAAATGCCGGCAACGGCGAGCGTTAGGCTGGATGAGTGACAGACGACAAAATATTCCGAGCACTCCAGCCCAAAAGCCAACAGTGCGCCACAGAGGAAAAGGCCCAGCGTTCGAAAGAGTGGGAGGTAGGCTTCAGTCCGGAATAGGAGCGGTGATGTTAGAAGTTCCATAACTGAAAGTGGGGAGGGGGAGAGGGAGACATCAGCAAACGAAGGGTTTGTGAAACGGAAAAGGGCGGGATACTGTAGAAGAAATGAAAGGCTTCAGAGACTACAGTCACAAAAGAAGAAAACACAACAATACTAGGACACAGTAACACCTGGAACGGCTGTGATCATGCCTGATGTAACCAGCGTCAACGATGCTCCGAGCTGTACTCCTTCATGTACGACAATCTGAGAAGGCAGATCTGAAAGGACCGGCCTATTCTCTCCTCGAGGAAAGAATGCCGAAGATCAAGGGATTATCTCCTAGTCTTGGGGAATTGTGCCCGGTCAGGTATCGAGCTGACCTCTTCGTTCAATACAGTGTGAAAACAGAGTCACACTAATGGTAGAAGTACTAAATTTATAAGGGTTATGACGAAGAACATGACCAACCCACCTCAGCTATCTTCCCTGGCTGACTAAGGATATTTTTTGCGACGTCGTCGCACGAAATGCAGACTGTCACAGCCGATACTATGCATTCACCCGAAGGAGGATTCTCCGACAAAGTTGGACAAACACCTCCAGTTTTTGCTCGACCTTCATGCGCACAACGCAGCAACTGTTCAGGAAAAATGAAGGAACGGGTGCCCGCGTCTCTATAAGGGGGCGGAGATATCGCGACGGAAGCATAAATACGTCGTACAATCAGCGAACGCTGTCGGCTGCATCGATTCTGGCAACCATTTCGTCTTCACTCTATCTATTTGGGAGCAACTTTACCCCAAGATATTTAAAACTATATCACCTTCCAGGATAACAGACAGGTGTCTTCTCCTGATAAGACATTTGGCGCGAAACCACCCTGATCTTTGTAACATTGAAAGGCCAGCCAGCAGATCAAGTGACATTATTCACCTGAAAGTACATTCCAAAGGTCACCACTGACAGGGCGATATCGTCAGCGTAGTCGCGGTCAGTCAGCTGGCGTGCAGTCGCAAGTCCGACACCATCCAAATCGCATAAGGCCCTTCCGAGAGCCCAGCCAATGGTGTAGTTGAACAAGATGGGCGGCAGAAGACAACCTTATCGAAGGTCAGGTCGAATAGCAAACAACTGCAAGATATTGTTGTGCACCAGAGGTCGCGTTGTGGTGACGGAGTAGCAGGCCCTGACTACCGCGATGATTGTTGCCAGCATGGCTTCCAGCACTTGTTATCGACTACAATGACTCGTAATGGGCAAGATCGAGAGCTGGTGCGAAATCACCCATGCGCACGGACGTCAGTTATCAGTAGCCACAGCGGAGTCCACGAATACGCTGCAGTGCAAATACTTGGTAGAACAGTCGTGTCTCGATAGTAACCCCACCGGGCTGACCTTGTCCTCCGGTGACGCACATGTCAAAATCGATTGAGAAGAAGGATTGGTAGTCCCTGTGCCACCGTGTCGACGTGGCCGACACCGCAGCTATTCTCGCACACCTTAAATACAAGCACAGGGACGGCTGGAGCTCAGTAATCAGTAAAGATCGCATCTTTTTACGCTTGCTCAATTAACTCACGAAGAACGTGAGTCAGTACCATCACAAGACTTGCAGACGTCAACGAAAAGACTGCTTTCTCTCGGCTCTTTTCAGCTGTCTTGCTACGGCATCCCATCGACTTACCTCTCAGAAGTCTAACCAGACTACATAAGTTGAAAAGGAGCAAAATTCTGCTGGAGAGGAGAAGAGGGTCATAGGAAGACACTTAAAATGCTCATGTCGGTGCTCGACTCTAGCTGAGTTGTCAACAGTGATTAGGCTACACATCGCGGTCAGTCAGTGCAGAGACCTTACAACTTGGTAAATAATTTGACCTTCGAGTGTCAACGGAATTTGGGGCCTGCTTCGTGGGGGTCGCAACTTCAGCTCGACAGTTTTTCTCAGTCGATTTTATTGTCATTTTTCAGGGGTGGAAGGAGGAGTCGTCCCTACGGTAAGACAACTGTAAAGTCCCTAAGCTGGCCCAGTCGGTGGAGCGTAATGCGTAAGTCCCAAAATTAAGTCAGCTGTTTCGCGCAATGGGGAATTCAGTGGTGACTATTTGCTACTACCTCCATCTTGATTCTAGTTGGAAAGCGATTTGAACTTCTATCCACAGGACCTCGGCAGTGCCGGATTGTTGTAATTTCAGGACATCAAGGCGTTTCGCATGAGGAATTTTGGACGGATAGAGGTGGACTTTCAGGCCAGTGTGAAGGAAAACAAGGTCTCACCAAAACGCTGTCAGTTTCGGAACCATGTATCGATTTGGCATCAAAAACTAACTTAACACACGTTAATCGAGTGCCCGTAAAGTACGTAAGCTAGCCAGCAACTGACTGGCATTCAAATAGGTCATGCATAGTTACCTTGCTCTGCTAGGGCGATCATCACACCGTGTCTACCAGAAGAGTTGCGTCGGCGGCTGTGGTATAGGGTGGAGTGAGAGTTGGCACCTGGGATATTAATTTTCCGTGTGCCTCAGTCGGAAATTCAGACGTCAGACAGGCAGCAGACACACATGTCGTACTGATGAAGATTGGGCGCCATTAAACTCTTAGTTGCAGGACCCAGAAACGTTTGGGCATTTCAGCATCCGATAAAGAAAGTCCGTTTTTAGTCAAATAGTCCGACTCTCATACTTTTTTGCCAGTACCAGGGTTGCAAAGAGCGTTGGTCCCCACAGACGCCGTGGGACGAATCGCAATACTTTGGTCGTATAGTGCACGTGGTTTCTAGTGGATTTCGAGTACAGACAGGTCCCCAATAGTCGTCTAGCTCGTTTTTTAGAGGCTGTCTTCGCCAGCACTTCGACTCAAGAACCTAAGCCCAACGCGGCGGTGTCAAGCAAACTTTTTAAATTGCAGTTCATGATCGTCATGACACTGTCGCCATCGGGCTTTGCGACACTATCAGGCAGTCGGCGTGTCATACCTCAGCCCTCTACGTACTGCTAGCGCTGTGCTTGCCGGCCTGCGGTTTTCAGCTCTCAGATCCCTAAACGCTTCAGGTAACTTGCAGTAAGACTATCTGAAAAACCCGTCCTTTCAGTACGACTGTTTTTTTCTGAGTAACGATGAAAATCGTGCCCGAAAAGATTCTTCCGGTCTATGTGTTAATTTCCACAAGTCCTTTTCGGTGGTGGAAACTGCCGTACTCATCTAACGTCCTCCTCAAAGTTTCCTTGAGTCTCTTTCTTTAGCAATTACAAAGGATTACCTGGATTTGATTGTAATGCTGATTATCCCAAGATATTCCGAACTCGCCAAAATGCCGGATTTTGAATGCGCTTCCTTTCGGCCGCTTGCAGTGGCCACGTTCAGCAAAAACGACTGCTTAAGTGGTAGGCATTTTTTCATATATTTTCGATGCCCTTAAACATTCAAATATATTTTGTAGGAAACATGCATAGGACATAGTTTTTTGTAGCCATTACGCAGCGAATCACGTCTTCTTCAAATTCTATACTCGAAGAAATAGTACCTTTCAGTTTTAGAGAGAGAGAGAGGAAATGCGCTTTATTTTGAAATCGTAAGTTCAAAATTTTCAGCAAAAAATTGGCAAATTCCAGAATAATTCGGAACCTGAATTTACGTTGCCTCTTAGTTTCGCGCCTATAAAAGGCAAGCAGTATACTTTCCATGTATGGGAAATCATAAATGTCTCTACGCCATTACGAAAATATCATTCGGGACTCACAAAACTTTGCAATGAATACAACAACGTTGCATACTTTATAAGGAGAATTACTAAACGGCCTCTAAAGAACTCAAAACTGCAAACCGAAAATCACCATTGCGTTGAGTATACAATCGGAACATGACGTAATTTACCCCAAACGTGTACAAAAAGAGATATTTTGGGCAAGTTTTCTGTAAAATATGCTAAAATTTATAACGGCACCGCAATCCAGTAGGAGAATGTATACTACATGAGGGCCCAGTTTTATTGAATTTAGTTTTCGTAAGAGGCCGGAAAAAAGCGCAGTTAAAAGCCGGCATCTTTTCGAGGTTAAAATACACTGGGATTATGCTGCACAATAATCAGCGCTACAACCTAACCCAAGCAATTCATTGTAGTCGAAAACACATTTCAGAACTACAGTTAACATTTCACAAGATACGCCAACTACTTTATATGAAGTCTACTGTACGAGATATCGATGGATTCCTCGTAATGTGATTTTGAAGCATCAGAGCTAAAGCGGAGAGCAGTGTCAGGTTTTTCCTCTACATACGACACTTTAGTTTCATCTTTAACAGGAGGCAAACACCACCCACGCTAGTCAGAGGCTTAAACTGGTTCATATTTGGCCTAACATGTTTAAACACGTCAATAAGTCACGCGTTTAACTGGTAGTGAAGGAAAACAGGGTAAACAAGTAAGCAGACCATCAAGTTTTCAGCAAAATGACACCGGGAGACGGCTAGAGGTTAGATTTCTTATTACAAATAGGGGAAACTGTATGATATTTACTTTTTTGCTATGTGACCAACTAGTTTCACAATGGAAAGTCTCACTAGTGTATTGAAATGGTCTGTCCATCGCGGTCACTTCAACTTACTTTCGAAGTAGAAAGACAGTGGTAGGAGCGTCAACGCCATCCATGGCTGCGTGTGGTAGATGACATCGAATGGGTTGCCCAGGCCTATATAGGCATATAAACAAGCTAATGTAGAATAAGACTATAAAAGATAACAGTGACGAAAATAGTATTCACAAAAGGCATAGAAAAAAGGGAAATGCAGTTGTGAATAAGTTGTGTGCTAGGACAGGGCCAGTGAAACCAGAGGTTTTAGCACACCTAACGAGGGAGCGATATTCAATAGTGGTACATTCTGGACAGCCAGCAGGAGGGACGTTCTTCTTCTAGCTATATTCAAGCAACCTATAAAGTAGTGGTTTACCAGTGATACAAGAGGCAAAATGTTGCTAAACTAGTCGACATGACGGATTAGGTACTAACAAAAAGTTTCGACGAAAGCTAGAATACCTAAAAGCGGTTGAAAGCACTCGCAATCGAAGCGGTAGTGTAACCATTCCTAAGGATGAACGTCTTGGGAGGATGGGAGCATGACCAGCCGGTAATGTCCCATCTGAGACACCCGCATGTGTTGATACGCCCCAAGTCAGGAGATCCCCCGTAAAATACTTTATATAGTGGCGAAAATAAAGTATATAGGGTCCAAGAACCACCAAAGGATTCTGGTGGGACGAGAGGAGACAAATGTTGAATTAGGACCCCCAACATCGTCCAAAAGGAGCCGGTATTAAATTAGAGGCTGTAGCTTTGATCTAAAAGAACGGGAGATAGAGAAAGTGTCCAAACGTCTTTAAATGCCTTCCTCACATTACTTGAAGTTGCGTCGAAATATTGCAGCAAACGCGAGTTGCCGAATTCGACAAATTCTGTGGGCTCCTAATTTAGGGGTATTTTTTCAAGAGACTTGTCGCTATTAGCTCGTCTGTAATGTCCAGCGTTTATAATTACACTAAGACTGACTACCCAGATGCTCAGCACCTGCGGACCTACGGGTAACCGTATAGAAAAATAGCACAGTGGGTTGTACAGTAAACTGACCAGTCGGTGTATAGTTAAGTAGCTGACAACAATGGAAGTGCATTGATCTGTTGATAGTTCGCGCAACAAAAAGTTGAAAGAGACGAGCGACAACATCACAGAGGGTTGTTGTTGCCCACTATCAGTGTTGATGCGAGAACTATCAGGGTCCTTAGTCGCCACGACCAAGCCCAGTTAACTAAGCTGCCTGTCCACCACAAGGACTTGCCAAATGGTGACTTTCACTATGAATGCCTGCCGGGAATACTATGACATAAGAACCAAAGGCAAATGCCCCTAGAATAATAGGACCACTTCGGAATCGCGCTAAAGGTACGTATTTGCTAACAACGTGACTAACCAAATTTTGATTTTTGCGTCAGCTTCTGTGCCGCCGTCCACCGAATGCCACTGACGGCAGACGCAGAAAGGACGAGAATGAATCCAATCCAATCGAACTGCGTTGACTGATATGTGAACAGGAACAGGCCACCAGAAATGCAGAGTACAACAACCAAAATGGACAAGGTCTGCCGATAATGTAGCCGAAATACCTACCGGCTTCTCCAGTTTAAGAATTATTGCGAATAGCAAGACAAATATAATGCTTGTCGATTTAGTCATTGTGTATCTGAACTTTGGAATAAGACGTGTCGTCAATTAAGCAAGCTTACAAGGACACGGTAATAAATTCAAAACTCCAGTTAGACAGGCCAATGTCCAACGCACTTGCGATTCCTAAAAAAATAGTTACGAAAGGCCAGAAACCTGTTGGGGAAACTTCACGAACGTAGGAGCACCATGGAATTTCTACCCGTTGTTCACCCCGATATAAAGAAATTACTGATCGTGCAATGCACGCAAAAGTAAATTTCATGAGTAAATGGAAAAAGGTAATTGACAGTGGGAACGGATATGCCTAGATTTTGGTTAAGAAGTGAGCATTTCCAGTTGCCTAAGTACCTTGATGATATTGTTATTAAAAAACGTTAAAGTCATAGAGAACGCATAGAATAAGGCTATCCCGATAAGGGACTTTAGACCATTGAGAAACGCCTTTAAACACTCCATCTCCACATCGTCTAGAAGATGCGTCCTGGGTGGGAAAACTGCACAGAGAAGGAACCGGCTTTGAGATTTTTGCAAAGCACACTAAGACCTAGGATAGTCCTGATAAAGAGCCTGGCCTACTTGCCAGAAGAACCTGTATAGGGTCCTTAGGCCCTGCACACGTTCTTTATTGGTCGTTGAGGCCTGTTCGGTGATTCGTTGTTTTACTGGCGGGTTCAAATCATAGAAGGGCAGCTGTAGCGGCCGAGGACGTCAAGGGTAGCACACACTAACGTAAGTAAACGCTGGGAGGAGATCTTGGCGGAGGTAGATCTGAACAGAACCGTTAACATCTCTTGATACGCATCCATACACAGGACAAAAAGACATGTCGTGTAAGGGATATAGTGTAATATAACGAGATGAGGACGGGAAATGCGTGTAATAATCGTTAACAGTACAGGAAAAATGAGTTAGAGCTGTAGAATAACCTGTCTGGGTGAAGAGACGATACCGACATGCCAGCTAAGTAACCGATGGGGAATGTAGCGCTGTGGGCAACAGCAGGGGAGGGCCGAGGGAGGTGCCGACGTAGAGCGGAGGAGAACGATACGGAAGTCACGGCACGATGCGAGGAAGGGGTCGGCAGAAGTGAGAGGAAGTGTCACCGGTCATCTTCACCAGCACGCGGTTACGCCATCTCCAGCCAAGGTCAGCGCGCCGAAAAGTGCCCACACATTCAAACAGTCCTGTTCGTTCCAAGGGGCGTTACACGGCGAGACCCTGTTGTTGTAATGTGGCCTTTTTGTACTCTTGTCCCGATTGGATGCATTTCGATTTGAACCGATTCTTTAGTTGCTACTGGAAAACAGCAAGAAGAAATTCAAGAGGAGATCTCCCGCAAGCAGAAATTCGGAAGAAAATATGAATGGAAAACTATTTTCGAATAGTTTCATCTTTTATAAATGTTCTACATTTAGATCGATGTACTCTGCCGTGCGTTTGTACTACAAGACTAGATGTGCATGCTACTTACTGCCTTGCATGGAGAAAACACGAATCACTGCTAATGCGGAAGAAGTCTGAGAAGACAGTAACACTGGAGGAAATGCAAAGCCACCACCACGAGACAGCTCGTACTTTACATAGCATTCCTGGCTGACGGCGTTGGGGAAAGAAATGACTGGAAGTGAAACAATATCAGAGACGTCCGGTCAACCCTTTTATTGGAAGACTTCATTTCTGATAATAGTAGCGCGTAACTAGGGTTAAGTTTGCAATTGGAGATAGTGCTAGGGTTAGAATTTTCGGGTAAAGTCTAGAGTGCAGAAGCTAAATCAACCTTCGGTTTGAAAAAGGCCTTTGAGAAAGTTCAGAAAACCATCCCATGTCCCCTTGAATTACTCATACATATTCACGCAGTATACTCCATATCAGTCTAGGGTGAAAAGATTTAGAATAAAATAAATAAACATAAAATAATTTTATTACACATAAATCGCAGTCCGAAAAAGCATGTAAAAATAAATTTCATATGTGTAAATTTTCAACGAGGTAGGCAGAATCTGTACCAAATGCAATTAGGGTTTCTGAATTTGTAGTCCATTAAGAAAAAATGTTGAGCGAGCGATGAAAAAAATCCACTCAAAAATTTAAAAGTGAATGCATTAATTTTACAGGAGAAAAAAACACTCGCTAAAAACATTAACAGAAAAATTCGGGTAGGACTGACCTGCATGTGGCGGTATATAACGGTTTATAATCAGACATCGTCAGAGCAGAAATAAATGTCAGCCATTAGGGGTAGGTATGTGGGTCGGACAGGACTGGCCTGCATATGGTATTGTATAACGGACTCAAAACGGACATCCTCAGGACAGAATTCGTACACCAGATGAGACTATTCGCGTCATAGTGGCCATACGAGCAGAACCCACACGCGATCGGTTACAGTAAGCTTTGAGCCCAGCCGAGGAGTGGGCAAGGGAGGTACGACCAAACTACGTGTAGACGACGAATACTGAGGCTTCCGCCGTGAGCGTCAACAGACCGCTTGAGGTCGAAATGCGGAAGATGACATCAAGAACCGCGAAAATCGTCGCTATGCAGAGGAGTGATAGCAGTGGATTTAGAAACCAAGTCAAAACAGGGAATCGATTGATATAATTGAGGGTTTCGACTTGATCTACCACTAAATCCCAGGAGGACCCTCCTCGAAGTCAAGAAGCTGAGTGTTCGGGAATGAGACCGTTGAAAGTGCCTTTATAATTTCCGATTTAAGGTGTTTGCGTAATTTCGACTTGAATATCGGTAACTTAGACGATGACCCAATTTGTGGTGGAAAATAATTTCAGAGGAAGGCATATTTGGAAGCAGAGAAGAGGGAGCGCTTAGATGTAGTGCGAGGAGTTTGCGGAATCACCATGAAGGAGATGCGCTTGACATAAGACATAAGAAGATATTATACGATATGAACCCACATATCTGCGCGGCTTTGGCAGAAATTCTATCATCATGAGGTGATACAGCAAGTTTATTTCTATAACTTAAACCGAGGTGCTTTGTGGTGAAGCATTCGTAGTGTGGGTTATTCTGAAAAATAATGGGACCAGAAAGTTTGGCAGGCCTTTGCTTCCTTTTTCGCATTAAATCTATCTCCAATCTTCCACGTATTGACACTTTAACTCCGAAAGCTCGGTCTTATGTCAAGCGCATCTCCTTCATGGTGATTCCGCAAACTCCTCGCACTACATCTAAGCGCTCCCTCTTCTCTGCTTCCAAATATGCCTTCCTCTGAAATTATTTTCCACCACAAATTGGGTCATCGTCTAAGTTACCGATATTCAAGTCGAAATTACGCAAACACCTTAAATCGGAAATTATAAAGGCACTTTCAACGGTCTCATTCCCGAACACTCAGCTTCTTGACTTCGAGGAGGGTCCTCCTGGGATTTAGTGGTAGATCAAGTCGAAACCCTCAATTATATCAATCGATTCCCTGTTTTGACTTGGTTTCTAAATCCACTGCTATCACTCCTCTGCATAGCGACGATTTTCGCGGTTCTTGATGTCATCTTCCGCATTTCGACCTCAAGCGGTCTGTTGACGCTCACGGCGGAAGCCTCAGTATTCGTCGTCTACACGTAGTTTGGTCGTACCTCCCTTGCCCACTCCTCGGCTGGGCTCAAAGCTTACTGTAACCGATCGCGTGTGGGTTCTGCTCGTATGGCCACTATGACGCGAATAGTCTCATCTGGTGTACGAATTCTGTCCTGAGGATGTCCGTTTTGAGTCCGTTATACAATACCATATGCAGGCCAGTCCTGTCCGACCCACATACCTACCCCTAATGGCTGACATTTATTTCTGCTCTGACGATGTCTGATTATAAACCGTTATATACCGCCACATGCAGGTCAGTCCTACCCGAATTTTTCTGTTAATGTTTTTAGCGAGTGTTTTTTTCTCCTGTAAAATTAATGCATTCACTTTTAAATTTTTGAGTGGATTTTTTTCATCGCTCGCTCAACATTTTTTCTTAATGGACTACAAATTCAGAAACCCTAATTGCATTTGGTACAGATTCTGCCTACCTCGTTGAAAATTTACACATATGAAATTTATGTTTACTTGTTTTTATGTGTCCGCGACTGGTCTTTCCTAAGGAATTATTATTAATTTTCTGGAAAATATTTTGCGCTGTCCTTAGAAGTTGAAGTTTGGGATGTTGGTTTGTCCAACGGTGTGTTCACGTGATGGTCGTATTGGTCGCTCACTTGCTTGCAAGTGAGACTACGCCTAGCGTCCATTTGCTTGCACCGAACTGTCACCTGTGGCTCCACGAAGCTGGGCTCTGCTCAGCGGCCACACCTCGGGCAACCGTCTCGACTTGCGGGCTAAACCAGGTGAGGGCGCTGTGCGCTTGTGCCGCGTGCACAGTGTACTGCGGACTTCGCTGGATGGATGGTCGGATAAAAAACTGCGCCGGCATCGTCGAGACGAGGCTCTGCCTGGTACGCCGTTGGATAACTGCTGCCGGGACGGGTCTCCGCATCGCCTTCGTTGAGACGCGCCCACCCTCGCCGACGGAGACCGCGGACTCACGGCATATGCGGTCGTTCTCCACTACAAACATAAAAGTCGTGGCCTCATAGTGGGATTCGGTCCCGCCAACCAGGCATATGGGCAGCCCGATTCAGGGGCGGCACTGCCTGCCCCAACGAGGGGAAGGGCCTAGAAAAGGTTGCCTAAAAATGCTGGGTACCACGCCGTCTCCAGGCTAGCAAGGGCCGCGGACGTCTAATCATGGTCGAAACACTGAAAATCGAAACAATAACAATACCAATAACAACAACAACAACCATACTCATTCTCCTCATCCTATCTCTTCCTCGGCCTATTCTTCTCCTTTGTCATCTTCTTCTCCACCTCCTTCCCGTCGCCCCACTCGTTGTCCCCAGACTGGCAGGGTGAGCCCGCTCACTCTGGCAGCCTGGAATGTTCGTTGCCTTTTAAATAAATAAATTTAAATAAATAAATTTTTAATTTAATGCCAGTTTACAGGCATTGTCAAGGGAAGCGATTAAAGACAAATCCGACCGGCAGTGAAAAAAAACTCCTGAGCTTAAGGCATAAAAATATAGTTGATGGTGGTTTTTGTGGTTTGGA